TGGCCGTGTCGCCACAGGCACAACATGTAGTGCGTCGCGCTGGCCGCCCCGTGCCGAGCCCGCGCCGCCCCCTCATGTGCTCCTCGGAGATGCTGGAAGCGGCGCGCACGAGCAACGGCCACGACCAGTGCGCCCTGGCCCAGCAGGCCCTCGGCCAGGCCCTCGGCCAGGCCTGCCTCCCCTGGGGTCCCGGCTCCAGCCCGTGCTCCAGCCCACGCTTCAGCCCCATGAGTGAGTTCGAACCAAAACACACCCAGTATTTTCCTTGCGAGAGTCAACACGACGGCCGGCCCGGCCGCGCGGTGGCATTCGTCCTCGGCTTTGCACACGTCGGAGGGCATCCGCAGTGTTGGCGGGATAGGTGTCCCAGATACATGCGTGCGCGCCACGCCCCTCCGCGCCCCGCCACGCCCCGCCCCGCAGCTGGGCGTGGGACGCGCCCCCAATATGTGGAGGAGCAGACTCCAAGAATGCTGCACTTGTGAGATATGAGATGTCTGCTGACGCGAGACGACGCGGAGGCGTGAGCGGGCCGAGGCTGGCCGGCGCGTCGCGGGGCAGGGCGGGGCGGGGCGTTGCGAGACCCGGCTTCAACTGTTGGTTGTTTTCCCTTTCTGATTACTCCTCTCAGCCCGCGCACAGTGCCCGCGCCCGCAGGACTCTCGCCGGCCCCCGCTGGGCCCCGGGTAGGCCGGCCCGCAGGGCGCGCGCGCTGAGCGGGTGTGCCCGTGCCCGCCGGGCTCCTTGCGTCACCGTCGAGTCAGTCGTCGTCCCCACCTGACGACACCATTATGCCATGCAATCTCCTTCCGCGCCCCCGCATCTCGTGAGTGAGTGTGGGCCGGGCTGTCGCCCCTTCCAAATGGGTGCGGTGCTGGGCGCCGAGGGATGGGAAAACGAGGAGCGAGGGGGGAGGGTGGTAGTATTAGGAAGCTGTCCTTCCATTTCATCCGCTTTGCTGTTTGTTGTGGTATACTTAAACAGAATAAATTGGACCCATGTTGACGGTTCCCAAAAGTAAAATCAACGAAAGGTATGGTATACTTAGGAACCCTGAGATTGGCACGAACAAAAATGTCCCGAAACATCGCATTCATTTCAAACTGAACTGGTCTCGAAAACAGATTGCATCAAGGTTGCTGGAAATTACAACAAAGAAATAACGTTCCCTCTGAAAATATAAATGTTTTTGTTCATATTTTGGCAAACAATACAGCGGAACTGCCTGGCGTCGGGTTCGGTCTATCGCCTGCGCCTGACAGGGAATAAGGGAACACTGCTTTTTTCCCTCCCTCCCTCTGCCGTGGCCTTCTGGCCAGCCTAGAAAACAACTTTCTCGTAAATATACGTCTTTGACAGCAGGAGCGTCGCAGAGCGACCAACTTTGCCCTCGGCCTGGATGAGAAGCCATCGATTCCTCGCACACGCGACACAGGAGGAGAGAGAGAGAGAGAGAGAGAGAGAGAGAGAGAGAGAGAGAGAGAGAGAGGGCAAGAAAGAGAAAGGGGTGGCGACAGTGTCGAAGGTGCAAGCGAGAGAGGATGTGCAAGCTCTGCCGTCCCAGGGGAGGCTGGATCCAGGCTAGCACGGCCCCGGCCAGGAGAGGAGATACATCTCGTCTAACCGCCGCCAACACCCCTCCGCACGCCCTGAAATATGACAGCCATAAACGCAGACGCTAAATTGCCAAAATTTCCGCTGTCATGCGTTCGTTTTGTCAGCCTGGCTTGGCCTCTTGAGATGGATAGCCAGGGACTTCCAAGCAAAAACAGCGTGTTCAGTAGAAAAAAGTGTATTTTAAAAAGTTTGAACTATGTTTTTTGAACGAATTGCAACTTTAATATCGAGGTCATATGCTATTTTGTTATTCTGAAATCGGTAAAACTGATTCATGAAACACGATAACGAAAAAGTTAATCACGCAGCGGCAAGCGAAACATCTGATGACTGTAAATTCATTATTCTTCTGATTCCGAAATTGGATTTCCTATCCTGCGGGTCCTCCCACCCGCTCCTGCCCCACCCCAAAGGCCCTCCTGACCTGTTCACCAAGTACCATACCATCCCCCAATAACGCAAGCGTTGCTCGGTGCTCACCCAAGTGTACACAACCATGGGGGCAACACCAGCACAACTTGCGTCTCCGTTGTAATGCAGATAGCTTCGAGCACGGCACTACAACGCGGCTAAAAATGTTACATCAACTTTTAATTAATTATTTTTCAATAAAAATATCCATCCCCACCCCGCTAAAGATCCGACCCATCTTAATAAGGCACGCTGTTCGCACGCCGTCGGCACGTGAAGCGCGCCCTCGTGCGCGGACCTTTCAGAAATCCATCATTGTCAGAAGAGGGTGGTCCTCGAGGAGAAAGCAGTGAAAGTTAGGACTTCGCCAGCTGGGCACAGTGGCCGGGATCACGACACACTTTGCGGCGGCGCGTGTTCATTGCAGATCTTTGTCGCGTGGCCAGTTTGCAAAAAAATACGTCACGCGCGAAATAATGAACGCAGCAGCCTTCGAGGGGGTTGTCGAATGATCGACCCTGTTTGCTGCCCACCCGTGTGGTCCACCACTGCCCTGCCGCTAAACGGAGAGGTGATAAATATTTGACGAGAGCCATAATCGAGCCATTGGTGGCCGAACGGAGCGGGGGCGCCACCGGCTTGTTTGCAGCCCGGCGAGCCACCCTCCCCCCGCCCTTACTTCTGGGGCAGGAGGCAGATTTCCTTGTGTGAGCAGTCCTTGGTCCTCAATAGGGGTACCACCAGGCCGCCACGACTTGGGGGGCCCCCACAAGTTTGCTAATAGGATGCGGGGGCATGGCGGGACCGAATTGGATGAGGGGGGGAGGGGGGAGAAGGAAGCTGGCAGGGACAGCTGGGGCGGCGACCAGGGCCAGGCTGCCCACGTAACAACCCATCATTTTTACGCCGTCGATCCCCAGCTGCTATGCGTCCGCCCTGCCACGCCATCAGCGCCTGGGCTCGAAATTACTTGGCGAAGAATGGGGGCAAACTAGAGAGCAGAGAGTTAAAGGGATGGGAGAGGGGGTAATGAGGTAAGGGGTGGGGGAGGGTT